TATGACGTCAGTGCAAAATTGCGTCCCATTGACTTCAGTGCAAAAATGACTTCTATTGACTGCAATTCAAAAATGCCCCCTATAGACTTATATGCAAAATTGCGTCCCGTTGACGTCAATGCAAAAATGCCTTTGTTTACGTTTTTTTAATTTTTATATATATTATTTTCTGTCCAATTTTTGTGTTCCTTTCAATAAGTTATTTTATTACATTGTATTTTTTAGATTCATATTCATTTAAATTCATGATTGTCATTGAAAAAAGTCAAATATAATACAATTCTATATAAAAAAAAGTATTTGTTTTTTAAAAAATGTTAATTTCGGTTTTTTGGTCAAGTGCATCCTTAATTTTCGGTTTCGGTCCATCATTTTCTATCTATAAAACAATCTAGCTGCCACTTGTGATACTAACACTATACTATACAGCATTTTGCTGACCCTGGATTGTTAAAGTGGGTCAGTTATAGAAAATGAGTTGTTGAGTCTAGTGACTCTCACTCCTCATGCATGAAAAATATCAGCTGTACTTTCTCCTAAGTATGAAATGTCAAGGCATGAATACAATGCCATTAAAAATCTAAGCAAACTAGTATTTCCTCCTGTGTGAAAAGCCAGGGCAAGAGCTTTTACTCTAAACCATGTAAATGTCCAGAGTCCGCTGGAAGTTTGGGACCTGCTGGGATTTTATTCTGTAGTCAAGAAAACAAATGTTAAAAGCACATTGTGCGTCCTATGTAGCAGTAAGATGAAGAGCCTTCTGCACAGATGTAGCACACAGAGTAACAGGCATTCAGCCATTTGCACTGAATGTTCAGATATTATTATACAGGATTTCTATAGCGCCAACAGTTTGCGCAGCGCTTTACAAAATGCATACAGTATATGTTTGTACTTTTTTATGAATCTCATTTAATTCTGATTTTGCACAGGCCAAAACAGTGGAGGAGAAACGTATCTGGACTCATCACATCAAGAAACTTATCTTAGAGAATCACCATGCTATCATTCCACAGAAAGTAAGGAGATCATTTACCATTCTGACTCTAAAACCAGCCATAGACGGAACAATTCCCCCATAAATAGTCAGTGTTGATGGGGGAATCCCTCCCGCTCAGCTATTGTGTTCTCCCGGCGGGGGAAACCATCTCTGCCGGAAGAACACAGTAAATACTCCTAGCAGCTACAGTGGGGCAAAAAAGTATTTAGTCAGCCACCAATTGTGCAAGTTCTCCCACTTAAAAAGATGAGAGGCCTGTAATTGGCATCTTTGCAAATAAAGTCAGCCAATGTGATTGTCTGGATTTTTTTTCTCATTTTGTCTCTCATAGTTGAGGTCTACCTATGATGCCAATTACAGGCCTCTCTCATCTTTTTAAGTGGGAGAACTTGCACAATTGGTGGCTGACTAAATACTTTTTTGCCCCACTGTATAATAGCCGCTAGCAATAATCGCGTGTAAAATCGAACAGGCTGGTTGTACTCAAGTTGATATATCAATCCATTTGGGTACATTCAGCTTGCACATACACGGGCTGAATTTCAGCTGGTCCTGCTGTACCGGCAGAGATTTGAACCGTCTATGGATGGCTTAATGCTCAGTGTGTATGAGGGACAATGAAAAGCAGAAATGCTCAAATCACTGCAGCTGGACAAATATGTGCATTCCTTCAAAGTGGTGAAAATTTCAAGTTAAATAAATATCATTTTTTTTTTTTTTTTTTTTTAGGCAAAGGAAGCAATTTTAGAGATGGACGCATGTAAGTGTGCAGAGATACAGTTTAACTAATATTTTTTATTTTAATATGCTGATTTGCATCTATCCCTTTAGTGTTTTTAATTTCTGAAATAATACATTTGATCCTGGTCCAGTTAAAGGGGGTTCCCATTTAAAGAGGACATGTCAGAGATGCAACTACCCAGAACCATGATGTTTGAGCTCACCCATATTATCGTCTTTTCAGATCCTGGACGTTACAAATATAGTCCGGAAAGAATAAAGAAAACCATGTCAACAGTTGACCCTACGGTTGTACTGCGGTCTGGGCGCAGGCAGTCAGGTATAATACTGAAAATAAATATTTATTACTGTGTGTAAAGCTGCCAACATTTCTGGCATTGGGATGTAAAACAAGATTGTCCCCTTTCCAAATAATAGATTTCATTTTTTAATATATAAAACTGTGTATCAGTTATTTTGGCTTTTTGGAAGAAAGAACACCCAGACACCAAAAAATATGTAATTCACTGCTATTTCCATCAGTGCAAAGTCAAGTATTTGCTTTGTTTTGGGCCATATCTTGTATGAATATACCATTGCCTTATGTTGGCTTTGAGAATGTTCTGCTTTATCACCTGGCATGTAATCTTTGATGCTATATTTAATGATTTGAAAATTTGCTTTATCCTTTCAAATATTTGGATTTTATTATCTCTGCTGAGTTTTCTTTGCCATTAACTAGTGATTGCCAATGCCTTTATCATTTTGCCTTTCTTCAGAGTTTCTGTCTAAACTCCAGCTACACATGCATTCTAATGTCCTTTTTAATGTCTTTTTTTTTTTTTTTTTTTTTTTTTTTAAGTAGTATTAAACACAAAATAAAACATTTACTATATTGCAGCTTACCAATTCTTAGATGTGAAGGCTACATTAGTTTTCTTCTTTTGTCTTTGTTTTATTTTCACCTGGTGATCTGGCCAGTAAGTCTGCTAGTTTTGACAGAGCGAGCTGTTCTGCAAATACATCAGTTGAGACAAAACATTTACAACAGACAGGGGTGCTTATAATGATCTTTTTTTTGTAAAACTTATAACCCAAACTAAAAAAAACTGTTGTAATTTCAGCGTGAGCTTGAATTTGACTTGTTTGTTAGTGTGTTTAAATTTGCTAGTCCAGCTAGCACTCCTTTCCCCACCAAATGCTTTCTACTTTGCCCCTGTGCTACTTCATCCAGAGTGGAGGCCCTCTAATACAGGAGGTGTGTTACTTGCCAGATCACTAGCTGAAAACAGAGGGAGGAGGGGGGGAGGGTAAAAACAAATGCAGTCACTACATCTAATGATTGGTAAGCTGCAGTATATTACATTCTTGTTGTTGGGTTTAATACTGCTTTCAGTTGTAGATTTGTTGCTCCAGTGATTAAACCCCAGTTACTGCATGTTCTTTATCCAAACTATGTTAAATATGCTGCATTTATTTGTTTCTTCTGCCACGCAATCCAACTCTGTTTCACGCCATGCATAGCTTACTCATTTATTGAGAGAACATCATTTTATTTTGGCATCCCTAAGCAACATAAATAAATGCAACTGCTTAATTATATGAATATGTGGCTAACCAGAATTAAAAAGGGCTAGAAGGAAGAGCACAAATAACAATGCTCCTTTTAAAGGTGCTACTTTACAAATACGGCTTCTTATGTGGTAAGTGGCAACAGCTGAAGTTAGCGCATTAAACGTCTATACAATGTACAACTATGAACAAAATATGTAGTTATGCATTTGTGTGGACATATAGAAGATAAACTGAGTACCATAAAAACTTTATTACGTACGATTAAAAATCTATTACAAAACATTAAAAAAAAAAACTATCTCCCCATAGGGGTTCACAACATGCAAAGATTTCGATTACAATACACATGTGGACGCAACACGTTTTGAGAATCCTTCAGGAACACGTGTGGCAGAATCTGTACACTGAAACCTACTCCTAATCTTAAATAGAGTAATATCAAGCAATATGGTAGACTGAAGTTCATAGCATGTGCATGTTGCCCATAGAGGTGCAAATGAGTAGACCAAGGTGAAGCCACTGCCTTGGGTGGGGAATTCAGGTACATTCAGTAAACAGCCAATGGTCTTGTATACATAATCTTAAAATAGAAGGACCAACGTCCCAGTGGGGAACAACACAGATCCAATGTAAGTAAGTCGCCATAAAGACAGCAAAGTATTTGAGGCACGCACATTTGTAAGAGGGGGCTCTTGATAAGTATCTTAGAAACAAACTCTGTTCACATCAATCTAGCCTGTATGGGCTGACCAGGCTGGATTGGTGTGAACTGAATTTGTTTCTAAGATGCTTAACAAGAGCCCCCACTTTAGAATATATGTGCCTCGACTACCATGCTGCTTTTATGGTGACTTGCTTACATTGAGTCTGGATGGTTCCCCATGAGGAAGTTGGTCCTTCTATTTTAAGATTATGTTTACAAGACCATTGGCTGTTTCCTGAATATACCTAAATTTTCCACCAAGAAGCAGTGGCTTCACCTTGTTCCTACTCATTTGCACCTCTATGGACAACATGCACATGCTATGAATTCCAGTCTATCCTACTGATTGATATTACTCTATTAAAGATTGGGAGTGGGTTCCAGTGTACTGATTCTGTCACGTGTGCTTTTGAAGAAAGATTCCCGAAATGCGTCATGTCCATATGTGAATTGTAATCAGAATCTTTGCATGTTGTGCAAAGAGTAAGAGATGCAGAGAGTAATTTTTAATGTTGTGAGAGAGATTTTTAATGGCACATAATAATGTTGATTTTACGATACTCCGTTTCTCTTCTATATATCCACATAAAGTCTCTGACTACATATTTTGTTCATAGTTGTACATGATTTGCTGAGATGTGGACATATAGCACTCAGTCTGGGTTTCTTTCCTGCTATAAACGTCTATACAATGTTCGCATATATACTGTCTTCTTACAGCACGCAAAAAATGTTAAAATGTAGCTGCTCAGTTCCTACTCCTGTGGGAAATGCATTCTTTGTCTGCTTGGTAAAATGCTATTCCCTTTAATTACATTTGGTGTTCAATAATTTTTTCCTGCTGATGAAATCAAAAGCTTGAACACAACTATGTGCAGCAAGCATGGAACCCTTCTGACATAGTTGGTGTCTCCCATACTAACTGCGCTCAGACTGGGAGACTGGTGTTGGATTAATCAACCAAATGAATGAACATCCTAACAAGTTGTCTGTCCTGTCCCCCAGATCCGAACCACTCTAGATACATCCCCGGAAATGTTAAGGAGGGAAGCGCACACACCGCAGATAAAGGTCGCAGAAAGTCTGGTGCGAGATTTTTATTTATAATGGTGAAGCCTCAAAAAGACGCTTAACTAGAGCAAAAGTGAACAATAAGATGTGCATTGTAGGAGACAATGTTTCTAAAGCCTAGACAGTGTCTGTAGAGGTAGATAATTGAGGCCAGCCAACTACTCTTGTGTCATTGTCCTTCAACTAACCAATTTACAATCTTTTCAGTAGTCAAAACTTAAGTAGAAAGGATTACCAATAGAATAACACATACTAAAATGGAATAACATATACTTAAATAATAAACTAATCACTGACCATAAAACGAATTTGCCAACAAATATACATAGTACCCAATGTTTTCCTATGATAGATTTACTATAGTTTTACATTAACTTGGAGAGTCTTCACTGTGTGATTTTTTTTTCTTCTTTATATTAAATTAATGTTTTTTTAATTATTGTTTGTTTAGAGCCATCAAAGCACATTCTGAAGCATCTGGGTGAGAAAGGTATGAGCTGTTTGTTTCATTTTGTTACAGAACACACTTGATGAGATAAAGACAAAAGCGCATTAAAGTAGAACTGTAGGCAAAATGTTTTTTTTTTTTCCACTTTGGATAAAGGGAGGGGTTATAACCCCTGTAAGGTTTTTTTTGCCATCTGTGCCCCATTGGGGAGCTTTATCCTTCACTTCCTGTCCCATAGACAGAAAGTGAGAGGAAATCTCTGCAAATTAAGGGAATCTCTTGGGAACCCCCTGTGTCCCCATTGGAAGATTTCCCCTCTGTTTTCTGGGAACAACCCAAAATATGTGATTTTCTTTTACTTTGACATTCAATGATAATGGTAAACAGGACAAATAGGGTGAATCTCCCTAATGGCGGCACAGATAGCAATAAAAACTGGCAGGGGTTATAATCCCTCTCCACTCTATCCAAATAGTAAAAAAATGTTTTACCTTTAGTTATACTAATAAATTAGAGGAGCATGTTGTATTACAAGATAATCTGCCAGTATGTTATTTGTTTGATGGCCGTGAGCACAAACAGAATTGGCTGCGTTATTCATTAATCCAGTACAAGAGCAAAATGCCAAGTGCACTGCATACAGCAACCAATAAAACGTCACCTTAGACTGGTCAGGAATCCATAAAGTGGATGCTGATTGGTTGCTGTGAGTTGCTGGGACTTGTATTTTGATAATAGCACATACAGAATAAGACCACAATACTTCAGAGATCAGTCATTTATTGGGAAGCCCATTTTTGCATTGCTATTACAATTCTCTACAAGGGTTGCTTTTGATTACGGTACAGTATGGCCAGGAAATTATTTTGTCCTTACTCTCAGGACAGGTGATGGGTTTAACAAACAAAAGTGGTTTACAGGCTGCAGGGATTTACAATACAGTAACCACAGGTACAGATTTTTAGCTGGTACTGACTGTTGTGGTTCTTTTCTCAGTTTGTTTTCTATGTAAAAATGCCATTTTCATTTTTTCCCAAGAATTATAAGATAATAGAAAATACATAAAAATATGAAGGTGGAGACATTTTTTTGCACATTATAACTTTTAACTGTAAATTTAAATGTTATTAAAGGGAACTAGTTTTGACTTTACTAGTTCTGGGTTAGCGTCAAAGAAAGTACCAAAGAATCTGGATCATTGTGATAGCCAGGCAACAAGTTTTTTTCAAAAGGCAAATGATAAAAACTCCATTGGGTTGATTTACTAAAGGCAAACAGATTGTGCACTGCAAATGCAGTTGCTCTAGATCTGAGGGGGAGCTCTGAAATGAAAGGAAGCTGATTTCTATCATCCAATCATGTACAAGAAAAAATGTTTTTTTTTTTTTTTTTCATTTTCTTTGCATTTGATTGGGCATTCTTTGCAAAGTGACTCTTTACCCCATTTACTAAGTTCTGGAGCAACTGCACTTACAGTGCACAATATATTTGCCTTTAGTAAATCAACCCAATGGAGTTTTTATCATTTGCCTTTTGAAAAAAACTTGTTGCCTGGCTATCACAATGATCCAGATTCTTTGGTACTTTCTTTGACGCTAACCCAGAACTAGTAAAGTCAAAGCAAAGTCAGTCCTGATCTGAATACTTGTCCTGTCTGGTACTTGTAGTATAGAAGCCAAGCAACTAATATTTTTAACGTCAGCCCCAATATTTTTTTTTCCTGTCCATTGAGGGACACATGAAGTCTTTAGCCTTCAGTTTATACTGCCAGCTATAGCAGGATTGAACACTGGAAAACATAAAAACTGTAGGTCAACCCAGGATAACTTCCCCTTCCCACTACCAGCATGTTTTTTTGTTTTGTTTTTTTTGCTAGTGTCCTAAGAGAATAGACCTCTTTACAGTTCTTCTGTGTCAAAGCTTTTCTTCAATGTTTTGCCTTTAGTCAAGACTCTTCTCTACTTTGCTGCTTGAGCTTTGTTCGATTTCAGCTTTCCAGAGTGGCTGCTCTCAATCTGACCTTTGAATTAACACATCTGGACCTTGTTGGATTGGGGATAATCTGGAAGTGACTTTCATGCACAGGGTTCCACATATAGACTCAGTTCTGGTAAAAGCTAGCATTGGAGTGCTTCTCAGATCCTGAACCTTTGGCATTGCCTTGTCTCTGAAGACTCATTTAGAGAGTAAGACTTCCTCCATTTTCTAGGTCGCTGGGTGCATATATTTGCCGTTCCCTTTGCCATGAAGGGTTGAGCCTTATAGCACTAAGTGCTGACATCATCCTCTGAGTGGAAAGTTGCACACTCTGTGCTCTTTCACATCATGCAGCATCGAGGAAGCATCTACCTTCTGCTACTCCTGTCTGAAAAGAGCTAAGTGGATTTTTGATCTGTTTCTGCCTTCTGTCTGCAATGATTTTGGTCACCTCCCACCATCTGAGCCTTATCTGCGCCTTATCTGCTACCAGCTTTCTTGGTTTTCTGAGTACCTGAGGCTTTGCCACTTACTCTGAGCCTTACCACCATTCAATTGCAACATGTCTGATGATTGGGGACATGGAGGCCATGGCAAGAGGTAGATAGGATCATGTCCTGGGCAGAACTTTATGTTCCAGCCTTGCCAGCCATGTACATTCCAGACATGGACAATTGGCAAGTGCTTGGACCCAGGAGAGTATTGCCTATACTTGGAGGTGTTTCCAAGCTGTGTCACAGGTAGGGAAACCCAGATGTGGATCCCCTGGCTGCCAGGTTTAACAACAAACTGAACAAGTATCTCTCAATGTACAGAAGCAGCAGAAGCAATGGATGTAAAGGGAATCAGTACACTGTGATCTACTTTTTGCTCATCTGCTGTGCAGGATCGAGATAGAGAGCATTCCAATAATCATCATTGTTCCATACTGGCCTAGGCAGTTGTTTTGCACAAACCTTGTAAGACCCCTGACAGATGCTCCATGGGCTCTACCAAGTTGTGCCCCAGGGACTGATTTGTTGTTGTTTCATGGTTGCTGGCTTTAGCTGCATGGCTGTTAAATTTCAGACACTAAAGGACAGTGGCATCTCTGAATCTATGATTCTTACAGTGCTAAAAACTAGAAAATCAGCTTCCCAAAATGTCTATCATTGGACATGGAAGCCTTACTTCATCTGGTGTAAGTCTTTGGGTTTCCACTCCAGGTGTTTCTGTGGTCTGACGTCTATGCTTCCTACAGCTTAGTCTGGACCAATGTCTGCCTCTCAACACTACTAAAATTCAAGTTTCTGCCCTTTATATTCTGTTTTAGAGACTGTTGGCCTTTTGCCTTCTGATTAAGAGTATTATAATCCGAGATAAACCCTAAGCATGCAGTGTCTTTTTGTTCCACCATCTATAAGTGGCTCAAGTAGACCATCATCCAAGCTATGGTTTCAAGGATCGGGTTCCATCATTTCCTGTCAAGATGCACTTTACTAGATCTGTATGTGCTTTCTGAGCTTTTTAGCATCACACAGATGTTTCCCAGTGGCTGCCACCTGATATTCTTTTCACTCTTTATCTAGTTCTAAGTTTTACCAGGTGGATGTTTGAGCGGCAAGCAGTCCTCAGTTCTTTAGTGTTTTATTGGGTCTGTTAGCATTTGTTTGCTTTGTTGCTCACCTCTCAGACCTCTCAGTTGGACTGCTTTTAGAAGTTCTGAAGGTTAAAGAATGCCTGTGTCCTTCAATGGACGAGGAAGAAAAAATAATTTTTATACTCGCTGTTCAATTTTTTTCTTGAAGGTCCATTGAGGGAAACCGGTCCCATCCCTCTGCGTTTATGATTATGCTCTTGTCACTGCTTTTCTACAAAAATGAGGCATACTGGTAGTGAGTGGGGTTTTCCTGTGCTGGCCTATAGATTATTTGTTGGCTAGTGACCAGTCCTTGTGTAGGTGACTGTATAAACCAAAGGTTAAAGACTTCCTAAGTCCCTTAATGGACTCCAAGAAGAGGATAGTTCAAAATCAACGTTAAAAAAAAAAAAAAAAAAAAAAGAATAATGTATTATATATATTGATATCTTCTATTTTTGACAGAAGTTTTAAAATAAAGGTTTACTTGTTGACGACTGTATTTGTATATTGTATATGTGGTTGTGCCTTGCTCTTTCTGTCTCAGTGACAGTCTGCATTGGTTATTATCAATGCTGTGCAGAAGGAGAGGTACCTAGAGCTATTCTTTCTGTAAAGTGATATGAAAACTAGACAAATCAAGTACTAACATTTATATGTAAAGTTGATGCAGGGAATATCTGATTGCCTCTCAGGGGATCAAGAAGGATTCTTTCTCCTGCAGGAGCAAATGGAATCGTGCTTTGCTGGGTTTTTTTGCCTTCCTCTGGATCAACTGTGGGTATAGGATTATAACTTTTTTTTTTTTCCTATGGTTGAACTGGATGGACTTTTGTCTTTTTTTCATCCAGACTATGTAACTATGTTCTGACAACCTAATGGTTCATATTGGTTCATGATTTCTTCATTAGTTTCTCCACTTTTGCATGAAAGCTCAGCAAGTTTCCCTGCTTAATATATCCCAATCGATTGTACATCACTAGAATTTTCTTCTGGGCTTCAGTCCCCTTTTGTCTTTTTTCAGCCAGACTAACTATGTAAGTACGAAGCACTACAGAGATCATTTAAAGCAATCTTCTATAAATTATACAAAATAACAAAACAATATACAAAAAGTGTCTGTGTAGTAGGTATTCTGTGAGGGAAATAGTAATTGTTTGAGGCACAGAGCCCCTTTGTCCGTTGACATAAATTTCGATAGCAGTTGTCTGTGATCGGTCAGTTACTGTTGTTATTTTGACCAGAAGATCGGTTCCTGATAAATGTGACACATTCCTCGGAAATGACTCCATGATGTATAATGTAACTGTACTGTGTAATGGGATTTACTGCCACAATTCTAATTAATTGTTTTTCTCTGTTTCTTTCTTTGCCCTTTGGATCTGCAGTGGGCTTGAAGGTAAGATGTTCTGTCTAAACCAATACTGCTTGTCTTTTCCCTGCATAA